CTGATCTATCCCCTAACCTTTTCTTCATCCTCTCTATCATTCCTCTTTGCTCTCGTTCCAACTTTCTGTAACCCCTTGCGTGCTAGCGGCTTCCCGCCTTGCTTGGGGTTGAATGCATAAAAAAAAAAAAAAATTAACCAATGGAGCCGAAGTGTCAAGTTTATAAGGGGAAATATATTCGAAGAAATCTTCAATTTTCAATTTCATTCTCAATATTTTATCTCACGTACAATCTAACCGCTTTTCAAACAGCGATAAATCACATCTGGGTTTTTTCCTTGTTACAATTTGGCACACGTTGTCACCAATTCAGCACTTAGTGAGAATCGAACTCACTGTATGGAGATTATTTTTCGGCAGCTTATTTTGAACTCGAATTGATTTTACGCGGAAGTAATTTTATTGGACAGATTTTTATTTATGTCCAACCTAAACTATCACATAGTAAGTTTTAAAGTCACTACAGCAGTAATATTGTGCTACAGAGTCTTATTAATCGCAACGAAGACGCATTACCGTGCGGTATTTCTTAATTGGGACTCATCTGGTTGACCATTGCTAATCAATACCTCTTTTAAACCTCAATGGCTCGTCCAAACAATATTCGGCTTTAATCCAGACACGGATACGCAATGTTGTTGGCCCTGATCTGGCATCTCGTTTACAGTCGCCCTTTCACAGACGTGCCGTTGCCTCCCTCTGTATTTTCTACAAATATTTTCACGGTAACTGCTCCGACAAGATATTTTCGTTAGTTCCCAAACTGCATGAATTTAAACGTGCCACAAGGTCGGCATTTCAGTCGAAAGGGTTAAATGTAACTGTCTCTTCTACTCCAATAGCGTCATCTCCCTTCCTGTGGAACTCCTTTATTCTTACTTCGCTTCCCTGATAGCTATAATCTCCAACTCTTCAAATGCAATGTCATTCGACATCTCCAGATGTATTGATCTATTCCCCGCCCTTCTCTTCATCTTTCGTCTTTCACGCCTATTTACACTTGCTCGTGCTAGTGGCACTCCCGCCTCGCTTGGGGTGAAAAGTTAAAAAAAAAAAAATGACCTAAACTGAAAACCATAATATCACTGCACTCGGGTTTGACTTTAGCTAAGACAATTTTACAAGTATGTATATTTTAAATAGAAACTGTTTTATTTTTGTTATTAAGCTTTAAGTTTCATACCGTTTATCTCCCTTTGATCTGGGAAACCTTAGAAACAGAGCAGCGTTTCCAGTAATAAATTTAATTTTAAATTTCTATTTTTCCTTTATTTATTATTTAAACCCCCCACCTTTTTAAATGAACACTATCTGCACTTCATTTCCTGCTTCTTTTGTAATATTTTACTTTTATTTTGGGACTATAAGCATCGTTTCTTCCATATGACATCTGTGTATTTTTATAAAAACATAAGATATAGTTTGTGTCCGATGAGCTTGAAAACGTAGGTACACATATTTTTTTTAAGCGTTTCACCCCAAGCAAGGCAAGAAGCCACTAGCATACAAGAGGTTACATAGAGTTGGAGCGAGAGCAAAGAGAAGTGAGAGAGGAAAGGATTAATAAAAGGATAGGGGATAGATCAAGGCATCTGGAGATGTCGATTGACAATAAATTTGAATAAATAGGTATTATAGCTATCAAGGAAAAAAGAAAAGGGGAGAGATTTCCACAGGCGAGAAGTGCGAGACATGAAGCTATTGGAGTAGAAGAGGCGGCTACATTTAACAGTTTCGACAGTGAAAGGGTGAGAACGAGATGCCAACCTAGCTTAAATTCATGAAGTCTGGGAACCAGCGAAAGCAGCTCATCGGAGCAGTTACCGTGAATGGATTTGTAAAAAAGACAGAGGGAAGCGACGGCACGTCTGTAAGAGAGCGACTGCAGACGAGATGCCAGATCAGGGCCAATTAGATTGCATATCCGTCTCTGTATTTTATCAAGGACCTTGAGACAAACAGAAGGGGCTCCAGACGGTATGTAGCAGCAATACTCCATGCAAGGGCAAATGGTAGATTTGTGGATTTGAAACATCGACTCCGGCGAGAATAATTTCTTGGTGCGGCACAGGGAGCCAACTTTCCTAGTGGTGGACAAAGCTATTGACTCAATGTATTCGTTCCATCTCAGGTCAGCGGACAATGTGAGACCGAGCAGTCGCAATGAGGTGCTTTCGTAGAGTTGAGCGTCAGACATTCTAATGGGAAGCAGGGATGGTTCTCTCTGGTGAGTAATAGAGAGCAGTTTTGTTTTTGAGGCATTAAAATAAACTAGCCAATTCTTGTCCCAGTCCACGACCGAGTGAAGGTTCTTTTCAAGACAAACGGCCAGGTTACTTTTGTCAGTGATACTAGAATTGTTTTTGAGGCAGGAGTAAATAGTAGTGCCGTCCGCATAGATACCTACTCGGGAACCTACGACGTTAATGTATGCATATATTAATACATACATAATACATATATATATATATATATATATATATATATATATATATATATATATATTTTGCTCTGTCTAACCACATTGAGCACTATTATGTTTACACCTCATGAATAAATTTAATGATTATTTGCTTGTGTATGCACGCCGACACGCGAGTATATGGTTGATTATATCTGGTCATTTGATTTACCTCACTTTATATATATATATATATATATATATATATATATATAAATAATTTATTTATTTATATATATGTGTGTGTGTGTGTGTGTGTTCACGAATGTCTAATACATGTACATGCCTTATGTTTTAGACGTTTAGAAGTGATTAAAGCCACTTCCTATTAATATTCTCTATCGAAATGTATAGAGTACATAATGAGAAATAGGGCTTGGAAAATTTGACACTCACAGGGCATACTGAAAACATGAGGAACAAACGGTGTCGGTGCCCGATCTATTTAACGAGCTAGTTTAATTGAATGGCAGAACAGAGTTTCGTAGATATTACAAAAAGAAAATTATTTTATGCGCTCATATCTACAAAGGACAGGAAATTATGTAGAGACTGGATCACTAACCTTCTGAAGAGACACGGCACAGAGAAGAAGAAGAAGAAGAAGAAGAAGAAGAAGAAGAAGAAGAAGAACAACAACAACAACAACAACAAAATAACAAGTGTACTAAGTCAATAAAATTTTTAATTTAATTTACATGGATATTGGCAATTTTATTCTCTAGATTTAGACGTCACTTTATAAAATTTTTGTTCTGTAACGTTCTTTTTACTGCGTTCATTTTTATACGGATTTGCCATGCTGTTGAACAAGTATTTTTAAGAATATTTGCTGTAATTTTTATCTCGATCGAACCTGTATAATTAGCCGCTATTGGTTTTTCATCTTTTTTTCATCTGTTATTGATCGCTTTTCCATACTCCCTCGTGCATGAATATTGAGTCTCCACCCAACCCCGCGAAACACGGAGTTGCTGAAATTTTCTTGTCCTGGCCAAGAATGAATTCCCAAAATAATTCTGATGCTTGGACATTCAGTCAGATTTTGGGTCGTGGGTCGATTCAAGAAATTTTCAGTACATTTAATGAAATCATTATCGTTTAACATTTTTCCATATGTGACCAACGGGTTTTTTGTTAATCGGGTTTATTTTTATATCCGGAGATGTAAACACTTCTGTAGAAAATTTAATTAGCAACATTTAGAGTAACTGCAATTTAAAAAAAAAAAAAAAAGTGGCGAAAACAAGCTGATCAAGAACGACAGACCTGGACTGCAGAAATCGATTGGTTTTAATTAATTAAAATTACTAATTAAAATAACTCATCAATAATGTGTCCAATACCTGGATCGAGTTACCTGCAGGGAAAAGCTTTGGATTTTTGCATTCGCAAAAAGAAGTGTCACTGGTTCATAAATAGATACAAATAAAGAAGTCTGTTTAGATATGTATATCACTAAATGTATTGTAAGAGTGCTACTGGTACAATGTAACACAATATTATCTGCCTCATTTTCCGGTTATCAGTGAATAAACCAGTGACGAGAAATCTAGCAGGATTACAAGCAAATGCTGAAGAAGATAAGATTAATAATTTCCTGGTATCATTTATCACGGAATCTTGGATATAGACATTACTGAATCGGTGTCCAGGCACGAGGTAAGCCCACTGGGAGTGTAGGACTCCTTAGCCTTCGTTAAGTTATCCAACTTAAAAAGAATACCCGCTCGGCCCGGTGGCTAGGATCAAAGTGTAGTATCTGTGCTTTGTGAGCTGCCGAGCCGGGTGTCTGTCGAACTCTCTGCTTGCAGAGAGGAACCCGGACGAAGCTCCGCCGAAGGGTGGGGTTTCGTTCGGGGAGGTTGACGGAACTAGCCCGCTTGGTCGGGTTTAGATGGGTTTTATTTTTGGCTGGGCCTACGGGCTCGGACATACCCACATTAAAAAGGCCTTGTGCCACATTCAATTCCTGTGGGTGAATTGATAAATACCATCTAATGGTGTTGACTGGCTATTCCTTTTGTGTGCCTCACCTTCTTGCTTAGAGGACGGGATTGACTCAGTTCAACGTCTTTCTCCATTTTAAAAATGTCATGCACAGACATAGCTTGATAACGTGTCATGCAATGATATCTCGCGATTGTCATACGCGACAATGTGGTGGCTGCCATCCTCAGTAAATGTCTTTATTAGTATTCGTTTTGAACGCTTGGATTTAAGCAATACCTTGACTTCGCATCCCGTAGTCCATATTTAGTGAGTAAAGAAATATATTGGACAGCTGGATTCCACTAAATTCTTTTTTTTATTATTAAGCCAAGAATAATAGATATTGAGAAAAGAGTGCTCCAAAATTCTGGAAACTAACCTTTTCCAAAAAACCGAGCCAAGGACCAAATACAAAACTATTTTTGAAAAAGTTTTTTGAGCAAGTTAAAAGATTTTCACACACATCTATCTATGAAACTGCTGATAGATAGATGATTGCATTGTCGATAGATAGTTGATTGCATTTTCCATACATCTATCTATCTATCTATCTATATAGATATATAGATAGATAGATAGATGCATAAAGAGATAGATAGATAGATAAATGCACTATCGAAAGATAGATAAATGCATTGTAGATCGATAGATAAATGCATTGTAGATACATGCATTGTCGATAGATAGATAAATGCATTGGGTATATATATATATATATATATATATATATATAGATAGATAGATAGATAGATAGATAGATAGATAGATAGATGTATTTTTGAATACGACAGCGAAGGAATATTTTCTTTTGTTCTCTTGTAGATATCTTATTTGGTAATCAAACTAACTTGTAAAGTCGTTCTTGATAAAAAAAAGCAAGATCAAAAACATTAAATTTAATAGAATTTAAATGAAATGCTATTATATATATACCGTTTACACGAAGCCAAAATGGCAGATTTACAAATATCAAAATTATTCGAAGAAATATTCAAATTTATTTATGAAAAAGCAAATATATTTATAAGTGCGTCAATGTGTTTCTATTAATGGCTTAACATATGAAATATGCTATTATGAGCTAGTTTATATATTGGTAGATAGATAGATAGATAGATAGATAGATAGATAGATAGACCAACCATTCTCTTCTCATTATCTGAAGCAAGAGAAAAATATAATTTATCAGGATAAGATGATATGAATTTTAACATGAATTTTGGAAAAAATATTCTTGTAGATTTTTAAAATTTTATTTATTGAAGATATTCGAAACCCGTCTCCTTGACTAAAGAAAATATAATTTAATATAATTTTGTCCATTTTTTTTTTTTATGTATTTGCATCAAGAATTTGGAGCATCTAGAAAGAATATTATGTTTGCTAAGATTTGATTTCATTGCACTTTGTTCCAATAAGTGGTAAGTTAATCTGCGAGAGAGTGTTGTGGTGGTATGAACAACATAAATAATTTTTTGTCCCGATTTCAAATTTCATATTGGAAGTAAATATGTATCTTACGTTCGTTTTCTATGAAAGATTTTTTTTTAACTTTTTTTTATAGAATTGGTGTTTTTCTAAATCGATTTTTTCAGGGTAAATAGACCGGCATTATAATGGATATTTTAATGCTTTCTCTAATGAGGTCTACTACTGTAAAAGAATTGTATCTCATGAAGTTATCCAGCATAATATGACGTAACGCAGTCACAGAAACATGGGATCTGGATTCTTTGAGAAAGATCCTAAGTAAAGATAAGAATCTCAGATAATTTCTCGCTTAGTAAAAGTAATGATAACATTATTTTAAGACAGTTTTATGTTTATACATTCTTTTTATAGATACAAATATTTAAGTAAATGCTCTGTTTATAATAAACAGTATTAAACAACATTTACCGGCCTGAATGTCCGAGATATTTTCATTTGATACGCCATCAGCAGATATGAATGTACGTGAGAGATTCATGGAAGATTCAAGTTTAAATACAGTAAATTCGACTTGGATAGACGAGCGCTCCTCTGTGGCCAAATCGGTAAAGGCACGTAAGCTAAATGACGGTTTCGTATAGGATACAGGTTCGAATACTGTCGGAGGACGAAGAATTTCTATGAAAATTTCTCGGACATTCAGGCCGGTAAATGTCGTTTATTATAAACAGAGCATTTACTTAAATATTTGTATCTATAAAAAGAATGTATAAACATAAAAATGTCTTAAAATAATTGTCGGACTTTGTCAATTTATAATGTGTAATGATACCATTCTTAACGGGAAACAATCAATATTCATTGAACTAACAGTTATGAGTGATTGTCGATAGAAATCATTTTAGACTTCTAAACTTCACTAAATGTTATATATCTTTCTATTACTGATTTCTGTTTCCTTACTAATCTTTTCTTTTTTTTTTTTTGGTAAAGTGGAAAATAAACATCTTGATTAGATCATTATTTCCCCTTGTAGTTACATGTGCTACCAATTTTTGTTGTTTTTTTTCTGTTGGATGTCTTGAAGGCTTGATTTATTTCCTAGTACCGGTCCATCGGGGTCTGATGTAGAGCTATCTTTTTTAAGACATGAAGAATTCATTCCCGTCGAAGCCTCTTTCATTACTAATCTGAGGAAACGGCTTTATATACGTAGCTGATAATTTGAACGTTTACAAACGTATTGGTCGGTATGCGTTTCATTCATTAGAGTCTACAAGAGCCTATTTAAGAACATAGAACGACTTTTCATTTTGTCGCATATTAAGTTGTCGGAAAAACACTTTTAATATTCCGTACATTACACACCCCTCATTTCGAACGGCTTATAACTTTTATTCGGCTGCCTATTGAAAGTAGCTATCAAGATATTCTCATTCATGGATTTGCTATTATTGCGGGAGCGATTTTTGTTGGAAAAGTCAACATTCAGGCCCAGTGCAGGTTTATACTAAGGATAATATGGAGTTGTTATAACGATTAGTTTAATTTGGCAGAAGGCCATAATTATGGAGCACGCGGTGAGAATCGAACTCATTACTCAGTAGTATTTGAAAATCAGGCGAGCTTGTTCACCATAACGAGGCTCCTAGCATTTATTGATTCACTTCATGACTAACAGCCAGTTGCCGCTGTTGTCGTCGTCGTAGTCGTGACATGTAGATAATACGTATAATTTCTTACTGTTTTAGAGTAGCTAGCACCCCTTCATCACGCTACCAGATGGCTGGGTTCATAGTCTTAAATAATCTACCTTTAATCTTAAAGGACTTCAGCAGTTGATTAATAAGTTGACTAATAATTTGATTCTAAGCTGATTAATATTAGCACTGATCTTACACTTTTTGGCTATACCGCATTTGACCCTCATCTATTCCTTGTAAGTTGTCTTGTTAATTGTTTTTAAATTATAGTCCTGTGTTTTTGTATGTATTCGCTAGCACTGGATACTGATGCAGAATAAATATATCAAGCACTCATTCTTCTCTGCGTATCATTCAACACGACGATGCAACACTTACAATAATCCAAAATTTTTACAGGGAGCATATGGATAGAAAATGAATTCAGTAAATATATAAAGATAGAAACGGGTGTAAGACTGTCATGCTTGACGTACCTATTCTATTATTAATAGACTCTCCCACACATAATAAGTAGTAGTAGCGAGCCAGTTGTGCTCAGTGGTGTTGAGTGAGTCAGTCGATATCGGACATTTAAGTACCAACCATCACAACTAGATTACTGCGTCATTAACTCTTATTTCAAGTTCCTAACGTTTTGTACGTCGAAACCTAATTTAGGACGACTTATTGAAATACAAGCCTCCACTGTGAAAACTACTCTACAACAAAGACAAGGATGTGTCTTATCAGACTTATTCAACCTATATAGAAGTCTCACCAGGATTCATTGTTGGCGGACACAATCTTAACAGCCAGAAATAAGCATTTAAGACAGTGTTAGTGGAAGACACAGAAAGGAAACTGCAGGAAATCCTAAGGATGGTAGTGAAAGAAAGCGATAAAAAAGGATTATGCATCAATTTTCAAAAATAAATGTATGGGTGCTAGCAAAAGACAGCCCAACCTGCGAATTACAATATGGGGATATCAAAATCAATCAAGTGAAGAAATTTAAACATTTGGGAAGTGATTTAAGGTGCGACAACGAAATCTGTAGGCGCATTCGGGTAACAAAAGATGCCTTTCAAAATCTGAGTAAAGAAACAGGAAAATATCATTTAAAACAAAGAAAAGAGTACTGAGATGTTATTATAATATCGGTTATGCTGGATAATGTCCGAGATGAAACAACAGAAATGTTGTTCCACTGAAAGATGCTGAAGATACCGTGGAATGGCCATGTGAGCAACTACGAAATTTTGGAGAAAATTGAAGCATATAGGACACTTATACTTAGGAAATGCACGTAAAATATTTTAGGGCACGTAATCAGGAAAGAGAGATGAGTAAATCTGACATTCACAGGATACATTGCAGGTAAGAGGGAGAGTAGACAACAAAGCGTGACCTACCTAAAGAGCTAGATTATATATTTGACAGAACAGGTTTTAGGAGAGATGGGAAAAAGACAAAAAATTTACTAAGAGCTACAAATTGTGGTGAGCCATTGTTGACATACTCCTGCTGATGGAAGAAGAAGAAGAAGAAGAAAAAAGAAGAAGAAGAAGAAGAAGAAGAAGAAGAAGAAGAAGAATCCGTTAGCACTGGATACTGATGTTGAATAAATATATTAATTACTCATTATTCTCTGTGTATCATTCAAGTCTACGATGCAACACTTAAAATAATCCAAAATTTTGAGAAGAAGAAGAAGAAGAAGAAATTCAATGAAATAAGTAGATTTAAAGAAGAAGAAGAAGAAGAAAAAATTCAATAAAATAAGTAGATTTAAAGAAGAAGAAGAAGAAGAAGAAGAAGAAGAAGACGAAAAGAAGAAGAAGAAGAAGAAGAAGAAGAAGAAGAAGAAGAAGAAGAAGAAGAAGAAATCGTATTTCTGAACGGAAGATAAAAAGCTCGTTATTGTCATTAATGAAAAAAAAAAAACAATTAAGAAAAGAAAGTAATTCTTCATTTCTCTGTTGAAAGAAAATGAGATACTTTGCAAAAAATATTTCAGAGAATGCAGGGTTAATCTTTTCCTTACTGACAAAGGTCTTGGTGAAAATAATGTATTGCGATTATTTGAACAAACAGAGTTATTAACGTCCTAATCTGGTTGGTTAAGAAACACTTCAATCAAACCATTTGATCTTCATTGCATTGCTTTTTATTTTCTTTTTTGCTCGGGATTATGATTCGCTTTTTGTCTTTGTCTTTGTTTGTTTTGTTTTTTCGTAGCCTTTCGACCATTTTAAAAATCCCCAGGATATTCATCACCAACTTAGGAAAGCCAATGTATAGTCGGAGCAAACCACATACAATGGTTTAAAAAAAAGGCGTAACAAAATTTAGAAAAAAGACTAACCTACTGAATTTACTGTGAGTGAACTCACATTATTAATTTCAGCAATGGCAATTTCTGCTGAGTAACATTATTACAGTAAGATTTCTTTTGTGAAGTTAAAGTTGTTGATAATGCAGTTCTGGTGTCTATTGTAAGAATTTGTAATAGAGAAAAACTGCATTTAGTATTCTTTAAATTTCTTAGAGGAACCAATTTTTAATATTTCTCAACATTTGTCTATATCGCTGAGATGGGGTATTAAAACTACTTACACTATTTAAATTATTTGGACAATTATCCTCATCTTCATTGCCATTTTCACAACGTTTCAGTCGCTGTACACTCCGGAATTCTGCTGGTGATTGGAATTGCGGACTGAAAACTTTATTTCTGCAAGAACAGCGTAAAGCGGTAACACAAGGGGAAATAGAAAAATCAGGCGTAGCTGACAACATATGGAGGGGGAAAGTGGGATAACCGCCCCACCCCTGTTGGATGAGATTGAAATAATAGACAGAGAGCATCACCGGAAAATACAAGAACTTAAGGAATCAGCACATATGCTAGGCCACAAAAATCTCCTGAGCCGACCATGCATAGAAATGAATACAATATGGGAACCAGTAATAAGGAATACTAGAGAAAATCATTGAATAACAACAAAAATTGCAATACAAGCTCTGATAAAAAAATGCAATAATAATAACAACAGAAAAATTGCAATATGAGCAGTGGTAAAAAAAAAAATGGTTGCTGAGGCATTAGGTTTATACGTCGCAGAAATTCCTACGCGGCTGTCCCCAAGGACACGTGAACCTGTTGGTTAGATCCATTGACTAGACCCAAAGAGTAGTGAGTTCAATACCAGGCCACAGCAGTAGTGAACCAAACTTGGTGAGTTGAGTTAAAGGGAAATAGCTGAGATATCTGGAAGAGGCATGACACGTGGAACTAAAACAATCTACCCCGGTGGATGAAATAAAAAGTCAATTACCTGGAGAAGGCCGGAGTGTACAATGGCCGAAACATTGTGAATATGGAAATGAAGATAGAGTTAACACTCCAAATAATGTAAAAAAAATATTTCTCAGCTTGTATTTATTTCGTCTTATTTCTGTTGTTTCTTAGACAGACTTCTGAACTCGTTACTATGAAAAGTTTGCATTTGAAAGATAAACAAAATAATATAACTTATTTGAGGGACATTTCGCTGGGTTGATTGATTTGGTTTCTTGGGTTTATCAACCCGTTGGTGGTTATTTAAAACCAGAATATATAATGTAAGAAATTTTGATTTTTTTGAGGTAATAATGGTTTTACTATTTAATCCATAGATGCGGAAGAAATGGTGGATTCATGCCTCTCCCAAAGGTATTTGCCCGTAAGGGAATATAATAAACCCAATGGGAATTAAAACTTGGCTCTCTGATTAACAATTCCAAGCCATTATACCACTCGCACATCTGAGTTTACAACACCTGGTATTCCTAATCGATTACCCATCTAGGTACTGAGCAGGTTCGACATTGCTTAACTTCGGTGATCGTACGGGAAACGGTTGTTTCACCGTGATGTAGCGGTAATCCATGAGTGACATATCGGCACTTTTGTCGTCGGTTTAATGGTCTTTTGTTTTTTTACTAATATGTGCTGCTTACTTCACATATGAAAAAGAGACTTGAATTGTTCTACAGAAGGCTTCTGGCAATAAAAGTGACTGAACATGCGAACGTTTAAGGAAAATAGAAATGAAAAAAGATTTATATTTAGAATCAGGAAAAGACAATTGAAATTTCTAGGTCACATAATGAAGAAAGAGGACTTTAACACTCACAGGAGATACTGAAGGTAAAAAGAACAGAAGAAAGTATCTATTTACCGGGCCTGTGTAAATTGTTGTCAGAACATCGATTAGGGAAGAAAGACAAAATATTGCTTAGAGCTACAAAGAACAGAAAGTTGTGGAGAACCGTAACCGACTACATCCTGAAGAGATGTAGAAGATCTCCTTATTATCGGTCATAAAACAACTTCATTTATTTCACTTTATTATTTTGATATTTTCAAAATCGGGTATGGTATACCCATGGTTAGTAGGGTGTAACTTTAACTGATGGTTAGTGTTCTAGGGTTAAAATTAAAAATTTCCAAGGACGCCTTTTAGAGTCTTTTGTCTCTCCCCTGGGAAACTCTACAACAGAGGATGGAAAATGTGGCACCGAGATCCGAACTTCTATCCGATTAACGAATGATGCATTGATAAAGCTAATCAAAGTAATAAGAATCAGGAAAATTTCGGTAGAAACACAAAAGAAGTTGCTGCAATGAAATCCAACTGAAATAAAATGAAAGATATTCTCCAATGAAATCCATCTGAAATAAAATGAAAGATATTCTAGTTAATAAGTATTAAGAATTTACGCGACACCTCAAGTAAACGCACTTGTAGCGTTAGTTTCAATTTCTTCATAGAAATTTTGGTCCAGCAAATTTTAAACAGGAAATACTAAGAAATGTTAGACATTTTCATGACGGTCGTCTTCGAGTATAAAATCCAGAGGTTGCCAGTGAATATTTCCGAGACAGTAGGAAAGCGTAGTGCAGGTTCGCAGTGGATATCGCAGCAAAGTAGCAGAGCGTAGTTCTTCCTTCTGTCATGTTCGCCGGACAAGTTGCCTCTGGTCCTTCCGGTGGGAAACAAAGATGGCCGCCTTTATACACGACGGATACAGTGTTGTGCGGCTTCTGATTGGTCAACCTTCTATTGGTCGGCTATAAAGGGAAGTAAGTCATTTTGACTTGCTCACTAGTTACATATATAATATACACAAAAAACCGTAACAAGAAATACTAATTTCTTAATAGATTATATTAAATCTTGGAAAAATTTCCGGCACTTTTTAAATGTGTATTTGATTTTTTAAATATGTATTTGATTGATCTCCGATTCCTCGATAGCGGCTTGGATTGAGGAATCGGAGAGCCGCGTTCGAATTCCAGTCGAATCCATTACATTCACTTATGTGCCAATAACCTAGTGAAAGATATGAATTTACTTCTTCTTCTCCCAACTATTGGTAAATATCAGGACAGACTGGGTTCTATAGACTTGGATGGCAACTGGTCTACCGCAGAAAGAAATGGCAACCTACTGCGGGGAAAAAATCTGCCTCGTCAGTCATGTATCGAAAGATACGTGATCGCCTAAGCGTGTATCACGCATGGCAAATAACTTACTGAAGTAATGGATAGCTGTTTGAATTGAGGAATCGGAGAGCTGAGTTCGAATTCCCGTCGAATGCATTACATTCACTAACGTGTTAGTGCCCTTGGGAAAGGTATGAATCTTCTTCTCAGCCAAACTATGGGCAAATAGCAGGAGTGGGAAGACCGGGTTCTGTAGCCTTGGATGGCAACTGGTCTACTGCAGAAAGAAATGGCAACCTACTGCGTGAAAAATCTGACTCGTCAGTCGTGTATCGAAGGATACATGATCGCCTAAGCGTGTATCACACATGGCACATAACTGACTGATTTGATTGATTAATTCTTTATGGCTTATCAACATTCTTGAGGTTATTTAAAGTCAAAAGCTATTTTTCGATTGTGAAATTGTCTTTTAAATAACAATGATTTTCTGATACAAATCTTAATATTTAACCCATAGCTCGAGGCAGAAGAGGTGTTTTCATAGATTTCGCAAGGATATTTGAACGTAATTGACTATAACAATTCCGACACGAATTCGAACTCTGGTCTCTGATTTCTCATTCCGAGCCTTTATTCATTACCCCTCCCTCATATCAAAGCTTTGGTATTCGCGAATGTTCACCCTTCTACAGATAGGCTTAACTTCGGTGATCAGACGAGAACCGGTGTTTCAACCTGATACAGCCGTAAGCCTAATGTGGAATTGAATATACAAGAGAAAACCATTTTTTTCTCTCATTTTTTTTCAGTTCCTTAAGAGGAAATATATTGTTTAAACATACAAACGGTAGGCAGCTGTGGAGAGCAATGATCGCTCATGTTCTGAAGAGACAGGACACAACGAAGAACAAGAAGAAGAACAACAACAAATGATGACGTTTGATCATCATGGAAATTCAATATGTGTAACTTTTAAACAAGTCATTATTCCGTCTTCGAAAATATTACTATTTACCCTTCTGTCTATTTAATTATAATGGGATTATTAAAACAAATGACTGGGCTTCTCTATTAGAGTATCATTAATGTTTGCATAATAGGATATAAAAGTGTATCTAATCAGTCAGAAACTAATAAAAAAAAAAGAATTTTCTCTCCCTTCATATGACTTCTCAGTGGTTCATATCCTTAGTTGCTATGTTCATTACTGAAACTCATTTAACCCTAGAACACTACCCATGGGTATATAGTACCCAGCGCAAATTTTCCTATTTTTAATTACAATTTTCAGTACCTGATTTTCTTACCTAAATGATATGTTTTTCAGTTCCTATTAATGTTAACTCAAAGTACGAAGTTTGAAGTGCCTGCATGTAAAATATTTCAAATAACGATTTATATTTAATATTTTTTTTTGATATTTTCAAAATCGGGTATGATATACCCATGGTTAGTAGTGGTGTAACTTTAATTGATGGTTAGTGTTCTATGGTTAAAATTCAAAATTTCCAAAGACGCCTTTTACAGTCTTTTGTCTCTTCCCTTGGAAACGCTACAGCAGAGGATGAAAAACGTGTCACCGATATCCGAACTCCTATCAGATTGACGAATGATGCATTCATAAAGCTAATCAAAGCACTAAGAATCAGGATATTTTCGGTAGAAACAATGAAGAATGCTATAATAGTGAATGCTGGACAATATCTCCAAGGAGGAAGAGACAACTGGAGACAGCAGAAATGTTGTTCTACAGAAGGATACTGAGAATTTCATGGACGAAACGAGTAACTAACGTGAAAAGTCATAAAGAAAATGCGTAAAAAAATATACACACTTAGAATCAGAAATAGACGGCTGAAATTTCTTGGGAAGATAACGAAGAAAGAGGGCTTGGAAATCTGAAATCACGCAGTGTATAACGGGTTGGTAAGAGTGACAGAGGAACGGGGACAACTACTTGAGTTTGAGTGAATGGATCGTGGGACAGGAAGGGGGTGTAAACCTTAGCAAACAAAAAATCTGATAAGATATACGAAGTTGTGGAGAAGTGGGGTGCATGACCACTCACTTCCTGAAAGAACCCGTCATATGGAAAAAAGAATCTATACTCGTCATCAAAATTTGCCCAATATAATACTTACTCCCCTAGCAGCCAGTAAAATTGTATTCTTGAAATATTTTCAATATGTTTCATAATATTGAATTTTAATTTCAGTTATTAGAAAAATCGTAAGGTACACTGGGCTCTATAGCCTTGTTATGACAACAAACTCAGGAAAGTAAAAGCCCCCAAAGTCAACACAGTGGAAAAGGTAGAGGGAAACCATTATACTAACTTCCAGAAGAACAACCATCGAAATTCACAATATGTCAAAATAAAGGCCATCTTGGAGATACGTAATTGTTTACTTGCAGAAGAGAAATGATTATAAAATTCCAATTGCCTTTCATTACAATTAAAGAGAAATTTATTCTTTGCTTAGCATAGAACATGTTGAACCGACGAATCTTGATCTCGCATTGTCCCGCGAGAAAAATATTAACGTATTAGATGCTGTAACGGCATTTTATAATTGGCTAAGGAATCAAATGTAGTTGTATAAACTAATTACTTACTTCTTCCTACTCGCCCAATGCTTATATGTTATGATTTGTTTTGTTTGTTTAACGGATTACCAACTGCTTATGGTATTCTGGGTATGACGATAAACTACATCTAGCAGCAAGGCCTCTGATCGGGAGATTTGAGGTTTTCAGGACCGTGGAACCGCCTCCTGGTTACTGTTGTTCTCAGGTACTCCCTAACCCGGTTTGGTAGCAGCTATTAGGGTCCTAGCTATGGGCAAATAGTAAACCTCCAAACAAAATTCAACAGCATACTATTATAATAAAATGACCAAAAATACATTTTTATAGACAAATGGCAACACTAAAAATATATAAAAACACATTTTCATATTAAAATTACCAAGAACACATTTTATGTTCTACAAACTATATATCTAAATATACCTTTACTCTGAACGTATAAAATTATGTGCACAATATCTTTAATTGAAAGCATAAAACTATGTTCAAAATATTTAGATCTCAGCATAAGCAGTTAATGGTTGGTTGATTTTGTTTAGCGTAATATCAACTCTCTCTGTGTTATTTAAAGCCATAGAGGTTGATATGACGCTAAATAGAATCAAACAACTAATAACTCCTTATGGTTATTATAGTTAATGCGGAAATTTAATTTTCTTTGGCACATTAGTAATTTATTTTACAAAAATATATTGCTGTTTTTTTTTTTTTGGTGCGGGTAACTATTTGCCCATGTTTGGGACCCTAACAGGTGCTATCACCATGGGTCAAGATGGACCTGGGAACAGCAGCAATTAAGAGGTGGCTCCACGCTCCTCAAATCTCCCCGATCAATAGT